TGGTACCTGCTTCGGAAGATCCCATATTGTATACCAGTTTGGTCTTTACATCCACCCTCATTTCTGGTCTGGTTATGTTGGCGTTGGGCGTATTTAGGTGAGTATGTATTTACTGACAAGCAGAGAAACAGACTGGATTCGCTATAACTTGTAAAAAGTTGAGTGCCTGAGATTAATACATAATTACCGATGGGCTGTCGCGAAATATTCTGCAGATTGGGAATTTTGGTCGACTTTCTATCGCATTCGACAATCACTGGTTTTATGGGAGGGACAGCAGTACTTATCTGCCTCCAGCAGTTGAAGGGCATGCTTGGTTTAAAGCATTTCACCACCCACACCGATTGTGTTAGTGTCGTACGTGCAGTTTTCAAGAACAGAAAAGAGGTTTTCCCTTCACATTCACTCACTCTTTCCATAGCATCTTCTACTACTTGTTTATTTCCTTTTGAACTATCATCATTTCTAGTACCTAACGTTGTAAGGAAGCTTCATTTCAATGACCCTCCGTTGTAATAGCCTAATGTTAGTTCGCGGAATTAATAGGTAACCTCGTCCTTCTTAGTACACTAGGAAGGGAGGTCATGGTCAAACACATCCAGATTATGAAAAAGGAAAAGGAAAAAAAAAAAAATACTACTACTATTTATGCGATGCATAATCTGAGGATTAACCTGTTATATTTGAACAGTGGCAATGGGAGAGCGCACTTGTTGGAATCATCTTTCTTGCTTTCCTGCAATTCACCAGATTTGTGGTAATGTTCTGTCGCTTATAGGTTGTTTTAGCTTCTGTTTTCCATGCATAAAAAATATACTGATTGAGAGAAACCTCTGCAGAAGCAAAGGAGACCGAAGCTATTTTGGGTGTCAGCAATTGCTCCCATTGTTACCGTTATTGTAGGAGGTCTTTTCGCTTATTTTGGTCATGCGGACAAGCACGGCATTCCTATTGTGAGTTTTCCTTTCCTCGTAATACTAAAAGATTTAATAGAAGTGAAACATAGATAGAGTGATACTACTACAAAGAAAGAAAAAACAATAAAGTGTGCTAATAGACCACAAGAGAACAATTATTATTACACTTTTAGTCCCTCAAATTCAAGAAAACTTGATAGGAAGAATTACGGAGCATAACTAAGAAAGAATTTTGGGATTGCTAATCAACTTGACTGTTTCCATCATTTCGATTTTTAGAAAATATAGTCCTAATGCAGAATTATTAGGAAAATACTTTAAAATTGCCAAGGGATTGATCTTTCTTCTTTTTTTTTCCGCCCCCCCCCCCCAAGATTATGGTCCTGGTCCTGGACCTAATAATCATCTGCCTGGAAATGACTGCTTAAAAGATAAAGCATAATTTAACTACAGTTGAAACATTGAATTTGATTCCTTCTTGATTAACTTGATAAATATGAATAACCTTTTCTTTTCTTCAAAATTCCCTGCGTTGGAATTTGTATTTATTACAGGTCGGTGCTCTGAAGAAGGGAATAAATCCTTTGTCCATTAATCGCATAACATTTGATCCTAAATATATCGCTGGACCTCTAAAAGGTGGAGTTGTTACAGCAATGATCGCTATAGCAGTAAGATATCGAAATTTGAGTGCCGTACCATTGACAAATGAAGTCAATCCTGTAATTATTTTTCTCAAACAATCGGAACTATTATGTATGTTGCAGGAAGGAATTGCTATCGGAAGAAGTTTTGCGATCATGAAAAATGAGCAAATTGACGGAAACAAGGAGATGCTGGCTTTTGGCCTCATGAACATCGTTGGATCTCTCACTTCATGCTACTTAACAACTGGTACCATGATAACTTATTTATCTTTACCTTGAAAATCCCACAAACAAGTTTTGTAAGATGGAAATCTCAAATTCACGATATACATCCTAATTTTTTGCAGGACCATTTTCAAAGACAGCAGTGAATTTCAACGCGGGATGCAGAACCCAAATGTCAAACGTGGTGATGGCCATCTGCATGATGCTGACCCTCTTGTTCTTGGCACCCCTATTCAGTTACACACCCCTCGTAGCGCTCGCAGCCATTATCATGTCAGCAATGTTAGGTCTGATCGAGTACGAGAAGGCTTATCACCTCTACAAGACGGACAAGTTCGACTTCGTTATTTGCATGGCTGCATTTTTTGGTGTTGTCTTCATCAGCATGGACATGGGACTCTGCCTTTCGGTAACGTAACCTTGGTCATAGCTCACGAGCATAAGAAATGTTATTTTTACCCAAGAAATGTTATTGCAGAGTCACCATTCGATCAGGACGTCCATCCATGGTTACTTAATTAGTTACCTACCAAATACGAATCCATCAAAACGTATTTGAGTATTTTGTTGCTTCTGCAGGTGGGGCTGGCTTTAATCAGAGCGCTTGTGTATGTGGCAAGGCCTGCAACTTGTAAACTCGGGCATATACATGGCTCAAATTTGTATCGCGACGTAGAGCAGTATCCCAATGCGAGTGACATTCCAGGAATCCTTGCTATACAGTTAGGGTCCCCTATTTACTACGCAAATTCCGAGTACATAAGAGAGAGGTATGGCATCTCCAAATTATTTGTTTTACCACGCTAATTACTACTTATTATTATGTTTTTAACTTTGGTGCTCGCTAATGCTGGCAGCCAGAATTTGTTGTTCTGATCTTATCTCTCTTCTCTTTTCTTTTCTTTTCTTTGGGGGTGGATTGCAGAATTCTGAGATACCTCAAAACTGAACAGTCGGATGCAACATTAAAAGGAACCGGTCACATCGAGTATATATTACTTGATTTGGGAGGTACGTACGACAACTTGCTTTTAATATTAGCTGTTGCGATTTCCACGTTAATGTTTCGAAAGCAAATACTGCAACCTACTCTGCAAAACAAAGATGATTATGGTGGTTTTAATGTTTTGGCAATGCTGCTGCTAATGATCTCAAATATAACTAACTCTTTTATAGGTGTTTCATCCATTGACATTACGGGTGTGGGGGCATTTGTCGAAATCATGAGAATTCTTGAATCAAAAGAGATCAAGGTACGAATGGACGGCTTAAATGAATTTATTTTTAGGAATCCTTAGGATCATGATAAACATAATACTAATTGGTTTTTTGTTTTTTGGTTTTTGGGGGGAATGCGCAGATGATCTTAATAAATCCGAGGCTTGGAGTGATGGAGAAATTGACAGTCACAAAGTTCGTGGAGAAAATAGGGAAGGAATCAATCTTCTTGTCGATAGCAGATGCAATTGAGTCTTGTAAGTTTTCGATGAAGAGTTCCAAGGGAATGAGCGTCGTGGAAGTAAATGTAGCATAAACTCGCATCTGCCGACCGAGGATTAATACCTAAACCAAATAAGTTGATGTAAATTGAATTTTGTGTATAATACAGACTCTGGAATTTGGGGCATATAATCCTTCCTTAGAAAACGTGTACATTGGCAATTTTGGGAAAGTTTTCATGTAGCCTCTCTTCCTTTCCTTTCCTTCCTATCAACCCGTAATGATGCTTCTTCTTCTTTAAGAAATGGGCCTGAATGCAAAATGTGCATTGATTGGATGCATGCTGTGGACTATTGAATGAAACACATATTGGGCTTGCCGGTGCGATTCGATACACAAAACTACACAAATTCCAAATTCCCAATATCTAATTCGAGAAATGCAAAAGCCGTTAGCAAAGAACTAGTCACGCACGTTGCTACCGCAATTAGGACCCTAAATTTCAACAATTCCTCACTTTAAATTTAAGTAAGCAACCGACCAAATAAATTTTGTACCAGCCGCTTGTTGGGCTCCGAGAGAGCTAAACTTGAGGAGAATTTAACTATGAACTAGAATGAGAATCACAACCATGGGTTTGACACTATATTCAATCCAAAACCTTAAGGCATTAGGTCGAGACGTAATTTTTGATGAGGAAAATTTTTGGCCATGGAACAGCAATATTATTAAACAACAAATACCTCCTAATTTTGATGGAGTTGATGAAGAAAATAGGCAGCAGTTGACAGAACAAATTCCACCAAATGGTCTAGATAATATATCAAATTTCCAAATAGTAGCAGAAGATGAAAGACGGCCTCAATGTATTAGAAAAAGACCTGCATGGATGATTGATTATGAGGTAACTGGAATTGATCAATCTGAAGACCCACTTACATATTTTGCACTGTTTTCCGATTGTGATCCTACAGTTTTTGAAGAAGCTATCAAAGATTTGAAGTGGCAGAAGGCAATGGATGAAGAAATTGCAGCTATTGAACGAAATAATACTTGGGAGTTAATCAATCTTCCGGAAGGACAAAAATCTATAGGTGTCAAGTGGGTGTATAAGACGAAATTAAAGGAGAATGGAGAATTTAACCATGAGTTAGAATGATAACCACAACTATGGGTTTGATACCACATCCAATCCAAAACCTTAAGGCATTGGGTCTATGGATCGTTCCCACTTATATGTTTCTCATTCTACTCATCTCTTTCTGATGTGGGATATTGATTCACACTTGATATCCCAACAATCTCCCCCTCAATTGTGAATCTCTTCCACATCAGACCTCTCTCCCTAGCCCATCCACTCCATCAAATCCATTTCAATTTGGAGTGTACGATTCTTGCTCAAGAACCCACATGCCCTTGCCTCACTGCAGGTCTGCATGATTTTTTTTTCCCTGCTCTTATCCAAGCCACGCCTTACCACTCCCACTGACTTTTTGTCCTGGAGTCACTGTCCAGCCGAACCATCAGCTCTGATACCACTTGTTGGGCTCTGAGAGAGCCAAACTCGGGGAGAATTTAATCATGAGCTAGAATGGGAACCATAACCATGGGTTTGACACCACATCCAACCCAAAACCTTAAGACATTGGGTCTATAGATCGTTCCCACTTATATGTTCCTCATTCTACTCGTCTCTTTTCGACGTGGATATTGATTCACACTTGATATCCCAACGCTAAACCGCTGAAATTTCAAATCTCTGCAAATTACTCCAGTTCATAATTCTTCTAGGCTGTAATCCGTTCGGTTGACTTGCAGGTGAGAGGGATAGTTAAGTCCGCCGGTATGGGTATGCCTCCAGTGATCAAGTTGGATAAGTCCGGATACAGGCAAAGGATGGGGATGAATAAATAAACGATTTTTCTGCCACATTCTTGCGTTGTTTTCCAGCAAAAACTGCTGACGCCGAATCTCTTGACAAGTGCGCTTTTCTGCTACTCTATATTATCCGTTCAGCAGTAGCTCTTTTCTCTTCAGTCAGCATTTCTGCAGCGGCTCTCCCTGTTTTATTGTTGCACTCGTACTCCCAATTTCTAACTGTTTCTCCGTAATATTTCTGCTGCTGGTTTTGCGAGTAGGACAAAGTTCTAATGCTTTAGAAAGAAGCCCAACCGAGTCTAGACCCTGCTCTATTTATCCTTCCACATGCCAATTCTCCAGGTACTCTTTTTTTTTTTTTTTCCCTTGTTTGTTTTGCGGTGCATTTAATTGCACAGTTTGATTTTTTGTGCTTGTGTGATGTGTCAATTATTAAATACTAGTTGAAATGGTTTGGGCAGCTTAATGAGACTATGATGATTAGCGAGGTAATCTTTAGTAAACAGTGAAGCCTTTGAGTTTCATGCCACAGATGTTTCCATTAATTGGGCTATTAGTTGGTCTCAGCTGCAAACGGGAAAGACTTTAGCTCAGTTTCATATTTTGTTTTTGGATGAGAAAATTGGAAGAGAAGAATAATTCAGAAAAGAAGAAGAAGAAGAAGAAGAAGAAGAAGATAGATGGAAGAAATAGAAGAAAACGAAGCGAGAAAATGGTAATGGTCCCAACTCCCAAGAGTATAGTGTTCAAAATGTTGGGCTCTCGAAGTTTAGAACTAGCCTTTGCATTTCGCAATCCACTTTAACCTGACGTCCGGGCTCTGGCTATTAACTTGCAGTTGAAATATGTATTGTAAAAAAGGCTTTAATCCCAGTTCGGCAATGATTGCATCGTAATTCTTAGATGCTTATATTAGCTGAAAAGTATTGAGCTTGAAAGGGCTCAGATAAAGTCATCTCTAGCTACACAGAGAAGATAAGCTATAAATCTGCAACGGGTTATAATTAAGCAAACTCAACAAGACTTATCATATTTCCTCCCAAATTTGCACTGCTGCGCTACTAGTGTTTGTTCCCCTGCATACTGCTTATCAAGATAGATGAGATTCAATGAGACGGTTCGTGTGAAGGGCTTCCTTGCTCTGGTCTTTGGGGTTGAGACTTGGTGCTAAAGTATGTTAGTTTTAACTTTGAGAAGAAGCAAATGTGATGAACTGAAGAATCTCGTGGTTACAGTGGTCTGGTTATATGCTTCTGGCTCTTCGTACAATCCCCAGCAGCTTTCGCAACACTGCCCTTTTTAACTTTTGCTGGAGTTAGTCATTATAACATCTTGTGCAGTCATTTATGGCCAGCTTTCATCTTTAAATGTTGGTAGCAAAGCATTAGGGGCTGTGACTTTCATGCATTAAATCTTAAAGTAGTGTTCATGAGGAGAATGATTCTCCACATCAATGGCACACAGGTAGGATAGTAAACCATGGTGGTTGTACTATTGTCTAGCACTACTATCGGCTGAAGTTTGCACAGAGGATGTAGGCCTTATCCATGTCATAGCACCAGTTACCACCATAGGGAAGTTCCAGCTGTGTGACACCTTGCCTTCTTCTTGATTCCTTTGGAGTTCTACATCCCCATTGTGCCATTGTCATAAAACACTGAGGAAGTTCCAGTTAAGCTGGTCATACTTAGATTAACCTAATTGAAAAAAATCAAGGGTTAACACAATCACATTGTTTTGTCTATTGTGTATGATGATGGATTTAAAAAATTTTGATCGGTTAAAAACCTGAGTAGTTTTTAGTATGTTCACTTGAAACCAAAGATACCGATATCTTGGCAGCATTCCCAGTAAGTGCTGCTGTACTGCACTTCAGTGCAGCTTTGCAAGTAAGCAGTTGGTTTAGTTTGGCAATCATTGGCACCATTAGTAAGTTATAACTGAATTTAAGTTTCACTAGATATTGTTAAAGTAAGAATCTTGAAATGGAGACTGCACATAATTGTATTAGTGTGCAGTCCTTATTTTGGCCTCTGACTTTTCAAAGAGGGCTGCACTGTGCTCCCTTTCCTCGATGGGCATGGAAGTTGGTATGACTGCTAAAATACCAACTCAGTTCTCTACTCAAATTGCTGCATGCTTTAGAAGACTATTTCTTCGTAAACTGCTAGTTTAGGTTTTTTTGATCATTTGCATCTGTTATGGAAATACAAACTAACTACTGGAATTCAACTGAATCTTAGCTGGTCAAAATGACAATTTTGATTGGACAAATCAAACAAAGTTTAATATCCTCTAGCTTAAGACTGCTCAATGACCTGTAAAAGATGATGAAGATGTAAACGAAATATCTTAATTGATTAATTCTCTGAACAACTTGGTATTGAACTGAGGTATTTAGACCTCTTGTCATTTCTACTAAACTGATTTGAGATCCTTAGTTAGATCATTGCATTTTACATGTTCATGCTAGTGTTAATTCTCTCTTAGGTATTGCAGAATATATCTCAAACATTTTGTTGTTCTTCCAACAATAATATGACAAGAATGCTGGTCTGGTCGTCTGATCATGCTAGGAACATGTAACGTGAGACCCTATTTTGTGTTTACTTTTACTGGAAAGAAGAGGTTCTCGCTTGGAGTTCTGCTTACTCCTGCTTGATTGAGTAGGATTCTTCTTCTGCAGGCCAAGTGCCGCCTGAGATCAGTCCATACTCTTCGTGGAGGTAGAGAATACGAAAATTATAGGAGGTTCAATTCTTCCTGATGGTGCAAAATCAAAGGTTTGAAGACGAGGTGGCTACAATGACTTGTCTACTTCAATGAAGTATCTTTAAATAGAATGCTCTGAAGCTTCACATATCTAAACGTCATACGCTATCCCTCATAGCTCCCCGTAGGCAGCTCGGTTGGGACTGGTCGTCTGTAGTTACAGTAAGGTCCCAAGTTCGACTCTCAGGTGCTACCGTTGCTGGGCATCTTTTGGGGCGAAGCTCTGCCTAGCCTGGGGGGATTAATCTGGGTGATAGCCAATAGCTCTAGGACACTTTCTTAACTAAAGCAGCATGATAATGTTGGAAGTATTATTTCAACGAACACATTGTTCCATTCGGAGATTGTCATTTTGGTCCATTCTCTTTTAGCACTTAGTTAAGAATGACGTAGAGCTTCATATAGATGTGTTTAAGGTGAATGTTGGCAGTTTTGCTGCAGAGAATAAATTGGGGCGGTGCAAAACCAGGCTCATAATATAAAAAACACTAGACATCGTCATGAAGCAATGTGCTGGGCTGAAAGTGAACAGGTTCACGAGTTAACTCTTGTTTCTCTGACATGGTCTAAATTTTAGTTTTCCATGGAGTAAGAAGAAGTCATTTTTCTCTCGTTCATAAAATTTGGACGTGCGAATCTTATGGTAATTTTTCTTTACCAACTAGGTAACCAAATTCCAGAAGCTAATGCTTACAAACTAGTATTAGTCTTCTACTCGTCAAAAGGGCCCAGTGTTAATGTGAATTTAGAGTTTTACCTTTGAGGATCTCTCGTTCCGCCTTGTCTAATTTTCCATGTTATAAAGCTGCCAAATCATTACGGGTTGAAGACGGCAAATGCCACCTGTGCAGGAGCAAGTTCAGGTGAGTTCTTTTTTTCTTCTTGTCATTCACATTTCTTTGCTCTGGAAATTGTTCGAAATATTGCATCACCCAACACATTTGCTAGAACTTGTTCAACTTTGACAGCTGCAGGAATTCTGCTACTTGAATATTCTCATTCTTTACAGATGCAGCCACTCTGTAATTGTACCTATAGATGAGAGTGACATGTATGTTTATTTTCCCTACTTCTGCATCTCCAATAACCTTCTGCTATCATTAGCTTCGGGTGTTACCCCTTTGCCAACCTTGAATTCAAATAGAAGACGGTCAAAAGATGTTGAAAATTGGTTTTTACGAATCTGCTTTCGATAGTCATACTCCTTTATTTGGCATGGCATCCACCTTGTTCCTCTTGTAAGCACTTTAAAGTTGAGAAAATCATTTCTCGTCTTCCAGCCATATACTAGAAGATGCCTTTCAATGATTAATCTCTCAAAGCATGTCTTTTGCAATAGCCATCCTTTTTGAGCTACAAATGTGATAGGTTGCCTGATTAATTTGCACTTTACATTTTTCTCCAATTAGGAAGCAGCCCTTCGCCAGGGCGTGGTCTATAGTCTAGTGGCCTCCATGTTATTGATTCCTTTGCTACTATGGAGGACCAGAGTAGCACTGATTTTGGCAATTTAGGCGGTGGGACCAAAAACTTTGAAACATTACTGAAACTTAATCCGTTCATGGTTTCTGTTTACTGTGAAGACTAATTTGCACTTACCCTTTTCCGTCTCATGCCGTTGTATTTTGTGCCACATACTCCTGCTGCGCTATCAAGCGCAACGGCCATTTCTCTCTTTTGTCCTTTTTATTCGGACATGTGAGTTTAAACAGAAAGGAAAGGAAACCATGGTGGTGGTCGGACATGCAACACCAACTTAAGAGCTTAAACCCAGATAGCGAATTGAAGTCTGTCAAATACTTTCATTGGGCAAGCTTTAAGCAAGAACAGTCATCCTTGTGGTAAATATAGATGGAAAAAAATATTGTATGGAACCATAAAATATAATACCCGGTTAGTGTGAAAAGTAGTTTTCCCGTTTCCTGTGTTCTACCCACCCTGTCACTAAATTATCAAATAAGATGCATGGGGAGTTCTTTTCTGTGGGTTGGGCGGGGAATTTGGGGAGAGCTAAGAATAATAATAATAATAACATTTGCTATTTCCAGTGTTGTTCCTAGAATAAAATTTGCTATTATCAGTTGAGAGTAGTGTTTTTCAATCATGCCCAATCATTGGATTCCCTCTCCCTAGTATGCACAGTTCCGACAGGGGGGGAGAACGGGGCATTTGTCTTGAGAATAAATCCAAGAACTGCTTGTTATTAGTCTTTTAATGTGATCAGGTAATGTCGTCTTAGCTGGCATTTGCAAAATTGGGCTTTGAATTAGGCTTTTAATGTTGGGTGCATCTGATTTTATGGGAGTCCTGGGGCTGCCGACAAGTTGGACGGGCCTACATAATTCTCTCGGTTCTTTGCTGCCTACGAATGACTTCACGTAAGACAATAACAACAATAATTAATATTTGTCTCTAAATCTAGACATCTAATTTTAGTACGGTAAGTAAAATGAAAAGAAAACCAGAAATTGTCGAACAAGGGATTGATTTGCCGTCAGCCACATAAAACCGTCCCTGCCCCTGGGGGGTTGACTGAGCCGGAACATACCTGTAATCACGGGAAAATCAGATCCCTTTGAAAAGTATAAACACAGGCAGCCGATGACGGATTTGGGGCAGCCGATGACTGATGACCGTCCCTGCACGGTTGAGAGCCAAGATTGGCCTTCAAAATTTTGTGCGGCTGAGATTACACCATGTAACTCGATTTTCGCGTCAAGTGTGGGATCCACCACTATCTGTTGTGAAAATACATCATGTGAAAAAAAAGTTACACGATGTACAAAGAAAATTATATGGTATTGACAATGACCAAAATTGGCAGGGACGGTTGCACCTGCAACCGTCCGTGCCCCGAGTCCGCCGATGACAGCAGGTGCCGTTTGAATACTTCTGCACAGCTGATCCGTATGTACTGTATACTAAATATACAAGGATAGAGACGGAGGTAATCTATATCTATATGTATTCAGGAAGGGATTTTTAGCAGAAACCCTCTCAATGCCTTCTAAACTTGTCATACTTTTTTCTAGATTTTTGTATTTATTTTAATACATAAAAAAGTAGTGGGTTATAACCCACCTTATCACCAATCAATATTTCCACTATCCCACTATCACCTTATCACCAATCAATATTCTCACTATCTCACTCCCACTATCCCACTATCTTAACTCATATTTTTGTATTTATTTTAATACATAAAAAAGTAGTAGGTTATAACCCACCTTATCACCAATCAATATTCCCACTATCACCTTATCACCAATCAATATTCCCACTATCTCATTCCCACTATCCCACTATCTTAACTCATCCTACAATTACTCCTACAAATTCTTCTTTTACTGATCGACTTAATTAACTTATCGAGTTAATTCTCTCACCCTTTCTCTCAGTTTCTTATTTGTTTTGGGTTCTCTATTGATTTTGTAAATGTATTGATTTTGTTTCTTTTGTGAGCAGTAGTTGAAGATATTATGTGCAGAGACTCCAGCAGAAATCAACCTTCTTGCGGCCGGCTTAATTTTCCAGGTCAGTTCCCTCTGCTTTTTAAGTATGTTTTGCTTTTGCTTTATTTTTTGTCATGAATGATATTGCATTGATTTTCTGATCATCCATTATTTCTGAAAACTTTTTACAAAATCTTATGAATGATTGTTTGCTTATTGTTACACTGTAAAGCAAAGATAAAAAGGTATTGCTTGCTTATATAATTGCGGATGGTATAGGTTCATAATTGAGGGTTCTACTATTTCTAACACAAATTGTATATTATAAAAATTTATTTGTTTGTATTACTGAAATTTTTTTAATTATTTTTTATTGCACATTTATCACATAAAATAGGTGTTACGATAGTTATTTTCATAATTTTATTACAAAAATGATCGTGCATGAAATAAAAAAAAAGATTTTTTTATAATTAAAAAAAATAATTAAAAATGATTTATAATTGAAGAAAAATAATTCAGATACTACTAATAACTAAGGCACTATACGCCCATTATTAAAATTGGATTAATTTTTAATTTCGTCAGAAATCCTTTTGGCAAAATTGCATTCTAGCCTTTCTTTTCTTTATCAACAATGACAATTACAACTACGTGATTCATCTATCTAGCAACAGCACAATTCAACTCATGGAATAAATAGTTCATTGCTTAAAGTACTTAAACGAAAGGTTAGAGTCAAGTCCTACTTAACACTTGCAAGTAATATATTACAATTAGAAAAAAGAAAATGATTCAAGAGGAGCAAAAAACTCACTAAGCCCCTGACATATGTGCAATCGTCAAGGCACTTTTGAGCATTTAAAACTGCATTCCTTAGTTTAGGTAATCACTTCTCTGTAATTGTTTTCATTTGATTACAATGCAATTCTATTAAATTCTATTGATGCTATTTCTATATTAATTATTGTATTTTTTTGGTTAACAGTTCTCATACAATGTATCACTATTTACACATAAAATAAATACATAAACTATTGATTTTTAATTTAATATATATTTTATTTCTAGATCAAAGAAATGAAAAATCTAACTGTCCTCAAGATCGCCAGACATCCACATCACCAATGATTTTGCGTGATCATGGTAAATATACAGTTTCTTATATCGTCATACTCATCTTGCATACACACTTTTTGGCTGCACTATCTTGCTAAATCAACTATAGATACAATACAATACAATTGTATTACAATTGTTCGATTACAATACAATTGTATTACATTCTATTGATGCTATTTATAGACAACTTAGCAATTTTATAGATTAGCAATTTATTTTATTTTATAGATTACCAATTACTACATGTACCAAAATATTTTTTTATAGGGATTACTTCATTAACTATGGGTGCTAATAACAATTCAATTGGTGCGTATTTTTCATTTGATTACAACACAATTGTACTAAATTCTATTGATGCTATTCTATATTAACTATTGTATTTTTTTGTTAACAATTCTCATACAATGATAAAAAAAATTCTCATACAACCAAAAAAAGACGGTTCTTGAATGATATATACATTCTATTATATTTCAAACTATTGTTAAACAGATATTATATTTTAATTTTATTGGTAAAATTTTTTTCACCTTTATTTGTTCACCATTTTATTTATTTTTTTAATAATGTCAGCACCGTGCATATCACGGGTATTTCCACTAGTTAGAGTTGTATCGGCAATGACCAATTGCTGCAACATAGAAGTTTGCCTCTGCTACCGGTTATTCTAATAGTGGGAATTTAGGAGTCTTTGACCATGTCATATATAGGGATTAGTTTGAACTCAAATTAAAGTACCCATCAAATAATAAGGGGAGCAGAGGTTGAAAGGGACGGTACAATACCACCATGTTTTGTTTTTTTAAATAAATAAATAATGATGACGAAAAGAGACCGTGATAACGCGGAAATGATAGTAGAGGCTGAGGCTTCCCCAATTGGGAGGGAAGCATCTTCTCTATCCCTAAATGCGAACCTAATTCTGGGTTCAAACAGGGGGGGCGGGATAGAGGGGTAGATTAAACTTTAAAGAGACAGCAGCATATGGGAACGTAGCAAGAGGGACCACTTGGACCTTTGCTTATCTTAAATTTGGTGCTCTCATGCCATGTATTGGTGAGGCTATAGAACAAACAAATGCCTCCAACATATTTTTTATTTGGTTTTTTTCAACAATAGAGGATATGGATCATATGGATCTGCTCTGCTCCCCCCCGTATTACCACCGGCTGTACAAATACCACTGCTACTATTTCATTTCCGTTGAGAACACACTCTACTACGTTTGTATGAAATGACGGTTGGTACCGCAGAAATTCCTCCTGATTCAGTAAAATCTTCTGACACCTCCGTTCGTTAATAATTCAAGGGAAAAAAATTTTAAAAGACGAGGATCCCTCCCAAGTCCGAAGTCCGAAGTAATTAATTATGCCAAAAGGATTTTCAAAGCAGGAGGGTTTAGGGTTTATCAGTTAGCTGGACACAGAAAAGGAGATGGGGGAGATGATGAGAGAGGTTGTTAGTTATTTAAGGGAAATCTGACAAGTCTTTTCCGGGGACCGTTTCTAGCTTTTGCCCGATTAGCGTTTAAAAGACGAACAATAAAGAAGCAGAGGATAAAAACTGAAGTGCCGGGGGAGCACAGCAAATGCGCATCGAAACGGCACCTGCGGCTGTTGCCAAAACATTAAAAGTAATTTTTACCTTTTTAGCAGAGGCAAATAGCAGAGCAGTACAACTGAACAGGGGAAAAACAGTCGGGCCCGGGAGCACCGATGGTGATTTTTTATTTTTGTGCAAACGGTGGCCGCGGAAAAAACGACGACGACGACGGCATTCACGGTGAATTCCTCACCATTCATCGTCTTACATTTGGCTACTCTACTACGAATGCACTGGCAGTTAAGATATTACTCCGCGAATCATGAAGGAAGCACGATGGGGGTCCTACCTGAGGGGGAGCTCCTTTTTGTCCTATGAATTTTGAGTACTTGTTCCTCGTGGTTTGGACCCACCCACCACAATTTTTCTCCAAAAACAGAAGGGCCCAAACGATTAATAGCACTGCGAACCAAATAATAATAATATTATTATATAAAAATAAATAAACAACCCTCAGAATCAACACTGCCGACTAAAGTAAAAGGTGCAAACAAGAAAACCGTGAAATTGGAAGCCTCTTATTAACGGAAAATTCAAAAAGAAAATTTTCATTTTGGAATTCTTTTTAAAAAAACTTTTTTTGTAGAATATGTGCTCGCCTGCCTGCCTTTAGATGACCCTTTTACTCTCAGCAGCTTTGTTTTGTTGAGGTGTTGTGATCCCTCTTTTTCTTTCGGCACTTTTGGTTTAATTATTCGTGCCTTTCGTGAGACTTCCCAAACGCCATTTCAACCTAACGATTACGCTGCATGGTCCCCCGGGGCATAATTTTTGACCACTGGTGGTTGTGAGGGATCAAATTAATGTCCTTATCTAATTCTGAAGCCTTTTTTCCAAACAAAAAAAAAAAAAAAAGTATTTACCTTTGCTTTTTTGTCGGTGCCCACTGTATAATTTTCTGGGCATTCTCGGAAGTTTATAATTAAAGAATCCTCACCAATGACATTTACCTTCATACAGTATATTTTTGGTTCAGACTTTAGACTAGCCGGCATTTTAGTGCTCTATCTATAAATAAAACAGACCTGATTAATCATTAGATTTTGGTTCAATGGTTAGGTTGAGAGCCCTTCTATTGACTTGTAGGTTCGGAATTCAAATCCTGTGTGATAGTATTAATTTCCGACAATTTATTTATGCGTAAAGTTTGGGTAGTTTTCAGTTCCTTGATGATCCCTACGCGGTAGAGTATTACTATGTCAAGATAACCAAGGAGCCATCCTTACTTAAATGGCACATGTTTAGAGGTGACAGGCACATGCCCCAATTTAATTACTTCTCCTCTGGCTGAGAAATTTTCAGCCACAGCGAGGAAGAATGATCAAAATGGGATGGCACGAGACACACGTATAGAAATACCGTACGTCTTTTCTCATTCCATGATTTGAAATCTACGGACCAGCAAAGTATTGAGAATAAATGGTACTATATTGTAATGTGTTTTGAAATAAAGCGCAAGAGATGACAACTAGCGATTCGATGTCCACGGCTAAAATGCTCTAATGCGAGGCGTGTACATGAAGTTACGTTCAACAAATCAAAATCATCCCACATGCTGCCTCTAACTATCCAATTTCAATCCTCTATCCTCCCCCCCCGCGGCGGGGCTGGGCGGGGGGCCCCTCATAAAAAAAGGAAAAGTTAAAACACCAACCGCGACCTAATTAATTAAAGATCATGTAAAAAGTAAATTGTGTGGCTTCTTGTGTTTGTGAATTGAGGATTTAGTAGTACCCAGCAATAAACGTAAGAATAGAAGTCTACGAGAGAGAAAATAAATATGGGTGTGCATATTGTGTATAAAAAAAACTCATTTTAATTATTATTTTTAGGAGTTTTTTTTTAAAAAAAAATATACTATAACAATTTGATATATGTAAAATAAAAACGTGATTAAAAAATATATTCATTAAAAACGTAAAATTTTTTTACGTCAAAAATCACAAGCCAAACAGGTTTCGTTTGAATTGCTATTTTTTATTAAAAAAAATATATAACAACAATTTGACGTTTGTAATATAAAAAAGTGATGTAAAAAATGTTTTATTGAAATACTACAATTCAAGCTAGGCCTAAACTACTTGTTAGCCGGTGCCTTTACGGTCCAGTTTTGGCAATTTGCACGGGGAAAATCCTAGTGGCTATGAATTAATTGGTCCGTCGCTGTCTCTTTTACTGTTAAATCAACAGTGACGATGATTGAAAATTCTCCTCCTAATATGAATATTGTGTCTTTGGCCAATGGCGAGGGAGAAATCACGGATTATGACCGACGCAGAAGGTTAGAGAGAGAGAGAGAGGTGCTTGGTCGCCACGTAAGAGGAGTAAAAAGGCCTCCAGCTGGCACTTGCAGTAGTGCCGGCTGTCATCTTGTCAGGACCAAATGGCTAAACGTGCTTACGTGGAGACTATTCTCCACAACGAAACACGCGGTCGTTGGATGACGTGGACGCTCTTATCTGCTTGGACGATGGTTTGGATTCTTCCTTCCGCCGTAGCTGTAGCTGTATATTCCTGCATCGTATGCTACGCTCCACCGCCGTCAACAATGTGGCTCCCCAACCCACCCCCCGCCCCCGGGCCGGGGCGAGAGTATTTGTTTCAATTTTCAGTAGCACAACACATGATGCCAAAATCCCAGTCAAAATTTTTTTCTTTAGTTTGTATTTATATATACATTTTTTTAACAACAAAGCTTGATTAATATCACGACGACTAATGGGTCCAAGAATTGAACATAAAGTGGAAGTGACTTAATTTTTGTTTGGATTAATTAATGTCTTTCAATCAACTTTTTAATCCTACATGCATCAAATAACAAAAAAGTAGTAAAAAAAGATCTCCAAATAATCTACTATAGCTTATTCCTTCTAACATATTTCTGGCATGAATATAGACATTGGTTGTACTGTATCAGTGAGAACATCCCATGCATGGTGAAATTCGCCAAGACCATACCTTTCCACATGGAGAATGGAGGCAATCATGGACGAGGCAAAAAGCACATTATTATGGTAAAAGGATTCCAGGACGATTGCGTTTGCGCGTAACAGTCTTCCTGGTTTTACGCGAATCTTGAAAAGTTCTAAGGCGGACAAAACCAGTTTAGTTATAGCCAGAAAATGTCTTTTTCATTTCATGCCTTCTCCAGACTTAAGCAGATCCTTCTACAATTTAACGCTATTAGGGATTTTCAATTACTACTGATCAGTAACTTGTCAGAATGAAACAAAAGAGTGAGAATATATGGTAACGCATTTTATGAAGAGAAAATAGAGAGGGTTTAACAGAAGGGCGGGAGGAGTTAAATCAAATGGGAAACAGGGGGGATGCTCATCCTCATTTGCTCCCATTCCAAGTCCGAGCTCTATTTATGTGGTATCAAGGAAAAGTTCCAAATTGGACTGAATTGATTTCTCAATTAAGCAGTTGCAAACGAATCAATAAAATTTATGAATCACTCCGATCATTATCAATTACTTTTGAGTTATACATCTTTTTCATTTTTTTCCCCCCGGAGTTCATATCCGGATTCTTTAACAAGTAGATAATGTCCAATTTGGTGATCAAGCACGCATTTAGCTCAAAATTTCATACCAACATGAACCGACAATTCTGTTGGATTTGTGATGGACCAACCCTAGCTTCTTGTTACGTCCATTTAAAGAATGGAGTATAACTAGCCATCAAGTCTATCGATCGAGGACTATGACATTTTTAAAATTCCAC